CCTTCTTAGTGACCTGAAGATAGCAGGCGCGGGCAATTTTTTGATTCCCCCGGGAGTAGCCAATGCCCCCCTCGGCGGGAAACTTGAGGCAGAGATGCCTCATGGAGATGATGGCTTCGAGGTCCTCGAGGGCTGGCCGGCCGAGGATGATGTTGTGAGCACAGTCAATGTTGACGACGACGAACTCCACTTCGAGCTGGGCTCTATGGATCCCGTCGCCGAAGATCACCGGGAGGGTTATTACCCCCTCGGAATCAATAGTATCGCCGGTGAAGCCGGCAAGAGGGGTCTTAATGGGCCGAAGAGACCCCCTCTCCAGATGCAGCTCTCTGAAGGTACTGAGGTACATTACATTGACGGAGTTGCCCGTGTCAACGTAAGTTCGGTGAATGATGGTGTCGTTGATCTCTGTCCGAATCACCAAGGCATCCCTGTGAGGAGAAGAAGTAGGAGGGAGATCTGCGTTGGTGAAGGTGATGGGTTCCTCCCTCAATCGCTTCACCGGGGGCATATGAGTGACTTCCCCTACGTAAAGCGATTGTGCCCACTTCTTCCGCTGGCTGGTGGAATCGCCCCCTGTATTGCCACCGGTGATCATGAGGATGTGGCGTTTCTTCTCCTGGTAGTGGGGGTACTCCTCCTCCTCTTCTTCTAAGTTTCCGATCTCCCTCTTCTTGCCGAGGGGGATGGTGTTCGGATTCACCCAGGCACTTACCTTCGTATGGTGCCCTCGGGGAGGTCCCTGATGAGAAGGTCCCTCCTGTCGAGGGCTCTGGACAAACTGGGACAGGTGCCCTGCTTGTATTAATCTCTCGATGGCCGTCTTCAGTTGATGGCAGTCATCGGTCTTGTGCCCCTGGTGTCGATGGAAGCGACAGTAGGGGAACTGAGGGTTGATAGCGTGTACCTCCGGGGGTGCGCGAGAATCGCGCTCAACGAGGCCCCTCTCCTCTGCAAAATCGAGGATGATGCTGACGGGGTGCGTCAATGGGGTCCGAGGGCGGTCCAGGAGAATGGGCTGGGCCCAAGTCTTAGGGTTGCTCCTATAACCTCCCCCGGGCTTGGCTTGGCCTTGCCGAGGGCGGTCATCAGAGGGTCCCGAAGCCTTGGGGCGATTTGGAGGAGCCCCCGGCCCTCGGTTGTGCTTGTTGTCAGCCCTCGGGGGCTGCTGGTCCGGATGCTGGTGATACTTCTCCACCTCCTCGGCCTCAGCATATCGGTCCCCCCGCTGCAAGGCCCTTATGTAGTCGCGGGGGGTTCAATGATGAGGCTCCTTGAAAAGTTGCCGGTGCGGAGGACGGTTTGTAGGAGGGCCAGGAGGGTCCCGTCATCAGCACCGACGACCTTGTCGGCCTCCGTCCTCCAGCGCTCCAGGAAATCCCGAAGGGTCTCATCCTTCTTCTGGCGTATTGTTAGGAGGTGGGAGAAGTGCTTCCTTGTGCGACGCCTCCCGGCAAATTGTGTCAAGAACCGCTGGGCGAGTTCTTGCCATGAATCAATACAGCCCTCGGGCAGCCTGTTGAACCATTCGTATGCTGGTCCCTCTAAGGTGGAGAGGAACCAACGACACAAATATTCATCTGACACCCCCACCATCATCATGTTGTTCTGGTACTTGCTGTAATGTTCCTGGGGGTCCGTTTTCCCGCTGTAGGGCTGTATGTGTTGCCCTCGGTATTTCTCCGGGATCCGGGCCGCCAATACCCTTGGGGTAAATGGCGTCCGAGTCCGGAGCTGGATGACGGGTTCCCCGGAGCCCTCGGCCACCTTCTTCTGTAACTCCTCCATTTTGGCCATCATGGCCTCGTATTTGAGATCTGAGTGAGGGGTGGAGGTGGTGGCGTGAGCTTTGTTGGACTCCATTTCGTCAAGCCGACGCTGGAGGGCCGCAATAATCTCATCCCGGGGGTCCCTCGGGAGGGTCTCCGCCCCTTGCGAATGAACCCGGGCCAAGTGGGCCTGGTTTATTTGGTGTCGAGCATCATCGGCATGAAGGGGTGCCTTGCCTTTGTCCCGAGGGGGACGCTCCTCGTCTGCCCTCGAAACAGATCCCCCGCTTTCCTGGGGCCTTTGGAGTGCTTTCCCCCCGAGGCGGTCTTGGACCCCTCGGCAGTCTGGCCCTCCTCCGAGCCGGTTGAGGGAGGAAGTACGGGGCCTCTCCCTGTTGTCATTATGGCGGTCCCGGGACTGAACTTCTTGGGAGGATGTTTCTTGGGCCACCACCCCTTCGTCGTTTCTCACCCGAGGGGTGGGATTTCCGAAGGGGTGTGGCAGAGGGGGAAGTATGATATTTTCCCCGATCTGAGGGTGAGCTGGAGCCAGGGTGCCGAAGGCACCCGGGTTCTGGGTGAGCGTCTGGATGAAGGCGGAGAGCGCCGATTGTACGTCGATGGTGAGAACCGGAGGGCTGACTTGGTCATCGCTCCGGTTTTTCTTCTTGGTCTCGATGCCGAGGCGGGCATCGGGGGCATTTTGTTGGATCTGAAGGCGTAGGTCGACAGCCGCCTGTTCCAGCCCAGCGATGACACCGCCCTCGGGAGCCCTGTGAGAGGCTTCGGGGGCGTTGACGTCGCCGAGGGGCAGGTTCTTGTCTTCTACGTTCTTTGAGTTGGCACGTGTTGTCCTCACCATTTTGATAGAGGGCTAGTGTTTTGTGTTTGGTCGAGGGGGAGGGTTTCTTACTTGATTGTTCAACCTCTCAACGAGAGCACCAAATGATGGATAGTCTACCCGGGGGTATATATCCGAAGGGTTATTGCGGGAAGTAATCTAGAGAGAAGTCAGAGCAAGTAGATGAAAGTAGAGAGGGAGTATATTCAGTGTGTTAAGCGTTTTCAGCGTGGTTACAAATGGGGAAATGGGGTGCTATTTATAGTAGCAATAAATGCCGGGCAGGGACACGTGTCAAGCGCCCATTGGCCGAGGGGTCGCCTCAACTGGTTGGCGCTGGCAGTCGCATGTGGCCGCATTTAATGCGGCTGTTGGATGGGACGTCTGTGCAGAGTACGGTGATCTGTACGCATGTGAGGCGGATATCTTGTCGAGTGAGATGCCTTCGGCCAAAGAGCAGTAGCCGAAGGCTCCTCCAACCGAGGGCACCTTGGTGCCGAAGGCTCATAGTACCGGGGGCTACTGTTTTCGCCGTTTTCTCCCAGTTTCTTAGTTTGCTTGAGAAACCCGCTCTATGATAATTTGGAGCCTTCGGCCAGGGGACCGAAGGAGCCCCTGTGCGTTGTGCGGACTGCTTGGTACTCTGGGCGCTGTGATTTGGGCCTGTTGGGCCTGTTGGGCCTTTGCTGGAGTAGTAGGAGTCTGTGGGCCGGGGGTTCCCGGGCCATATACTCCATCATATATATTGTATTGTAATTAAAGTGAAATATATTTGTGATCATTTCAATAAATTTCAGGTATGGCGTTCAAGAAGTGAACCATACACATTAGCAGAGTTCAATGATATCAGAAATATATGGTCAAGATACTTTCTGGATGTTGTATTGCAAAGTTGAGAAAAAACTATTTAGCCAAACAATTTGTAATGTATGAAATTTGTAATGTATGAATGTTGATTGGATGTTTAATTAAACACGTATTTGATTGTGCATTATGCGTTTTTATAGATGATATGATACTGTTTTTATCGGATATGTTTGATTGTATGGAGTTAGTTTTATGTATTTTTACGTATTATAAACAGGGCATCTAGCTAAATTTTTAATACAAATATTTTTGATTAAATAAAATTTTAGAGGCGCTTCAACCGGTAAAGTGCCTCTAAAAGTTTTTCAAATTCAGAGGCGCTTTTTGATCAAATAAGCGCCGCACGCGTCACAAAGATTTTCAAATTCAGAGGCGCTTGTGATCAAATAAGCGCCGCACGCGTCACAACGATTTTCAAATTTAGAGGCGCTTTTTAACAAAGAAGCGTCGCACGCAAAGCGAAAAAAAAAATATTTAAAAAATTGGAGGCGCTTTTTGCAGAGAAGCGCCTCTAAAAACACGTTGTGGCACTATACATTAGAGGCGCCATAAAGCGCCGCACGTGTACAAAAAAAAGCGCCTCGAAATGACGTTTTTGCACCTGTGTCATATCTAAATTTCCACCTTTTGGCTTTTACTTCTAAACTTTTTTATTTCAAAAATAGTTTCTCTCTTAAAATGTCCATTTAGATCGAAGATGTTTGGACTCTAAAGATCCATGTTGAGTGTTGGTAATTCGAACTTCACCCTCGCGAATTTCAATCTGGACATTGAGGAGTATCAGTATGAAGTAGTTAATAGTTAATACTACATATTAGCACAACAAAAGTATTAAAGTGTCATTTGTACAATGGTGTGCTCTATCTATGTAATAGCAACTCGTCTCCCATCATCTTCTTAGCGAATGCATTATAGAGTTCGTCCTCGTCAGAGTCTCAACCACAAAGATCATAATATTCTCAGAAATTAAAAGATAAATGTGGCCAAATAACAAATTGTGGCTGCTGCCTAAGCTCTGAGTCTCTGGTTGCATTAGCTTCCAAAGATAATTGGATGGTGGTCCTATATATGCATCGAACTCCCATCAGTATAGCGGTTCGGTGTGGTTGTGCCGCCGCCCACGACCGCAATATTGCTACCCGTTAGAATCCTACACCTGAAAAGTTTGAATCAACAAAGTGCTATATGAAGACATTGGCTACTCCTACTATGAGGTTGACCTTTTAGGATGGAACTCCATGTCTTAACATAGCACTTTGTTGATTCAAATCGATCCATAAACATGGTGTGGGCTCCCTTATGAAACATGACAATGACGAACCGACGAAAAAATGATTGATGTCACGATCCAGACGAAGTGTCTGGTCGTGAGGAGGGGTGTTAGAATCTCACACCGGAAAAATTTGAATCAACAAAGTGCTATATGAAGATATAGGTTACTCCTCTTATGAGATTGACCTTTTTAAGATAGAAGCACATATCTTAACACCGCCGCATCACCACGTATTATGGACCACTTTTAACTTATTTAAATTTTCATTTACTTTTTCTTGAATTTTCAAATTTGGTGTAATTATAAGGTCCCTACGTAGACTTTGACATAGGAAGTCCAAAATTTACATTAACCGCCTTTGTCTTTTTCATTTTTCATGCGCGGCACTATATCTATATTTAGGAACAGAGTAAACAGAATAAGAATGGTTATATAATCTAATCGCGCCGTGGACGCGGAGATGCCGGCTGGGGAATCTCTTCCGGTCTTTGACCGTGATTTTAACTGAATTTATGTCCATCATCTGAACCCCGCAGAATAATCCAAGCGATCTCAGGTCATGGGCTGAATGGAGGCATGTACCATTTTCGCTGCAACTGGCACAGCCGCCGGCTGAATCTGATTCCCTCTTCACAGCGTCAATGAGGTGTTGTAGCCTGACATTTGGGTCTCTGTTCCATTCTCCGAACACCATTATCTTTCCTTCCCCACTTTGGACTTGCTTTCCGTGAGGATTTTGATGTCGGGCGGCGGTCATCTCCATCACGGCTAACCAGGGAATTATGTTGTTGGCATGGAGACGAGTGAATTCCATTTATATTGGGGATTTCGTTGATTGCGCACTAACCATCGCTGGTGGTGTGGAGATCGATGCGGAGGCTCTACAGATAGGGCTGGGCAGTGGGGTTATGGTAGGGGTAGAACCAGGAAAGGGAATATCAGAGGTAGTGGGAGGGACCAAGGATAACATGTATGATGTAGAAGATTCCCTAAAGTTCGGAAAAGGATAAATATTTTCGTGGAACCTAACATGACGACTAATGTAGACTCGCTGAGTAATAGGATCATAACAACGATAGTCTTTATAGTCTGATGCATAGCCTAGAAAAAGACATTTGACAGAACACAGAGAAAGTTTATTTGATGAGGTAACAGGAAAATTGGGATAGCATGTTGTGCTAAAAACTCGCATAAAAGAATAATCAGGAGCCTTATGAAAAAGTTTTTGAAAAGGAGATAGAACATTTAATAGAGGAAATGGTAACCTATTAATAATGTATGCAACGTTATAAAGTGCATCTACCCAGAAGTGACTCGGGACCGAAGCTTCAAGAAGCATGGGTGTTAAGGATGATGACGATGTTTTCACTCAGCAACACCATTCTGCTGAGGTGTGTCAGGACAAGATTTTTGAAAATAAATTCCATGAAAGTTAACAAATTCACCCCCTCCATCACTTTGAAGAATTTTATTTTTCTGATTAAGAAGATTTTCAACCAAAAGCTTAAAATTTTTAAAGTGCTGAAAACCTCACCTCTTGCAGCACATAGGATAAAAGACTGTCATCCATCAGAATGAATAATTTGCAAAGGCGAAATACAAATGTGACTAACATCAGAAAAGGGAAAACATTGTGATTTTCATAGACGGCAACCAACACAGTCATGAATAAAACTAGAGCTATTACATAAGAAAATGCAAAATTTTGTCATCGTAGTGACCTAGTCTACGATGCCAAATAGGATCAGAAGCTGACAGGGATGTTAAAGCTAGTGGAGAAGAAGACAACATACTGATAGGATAGAGTGACCCACTACTGGAAGCTTGTAGAAGAACTGCCCCCGAGATTTTGTCCTTAACAAAAAAAATGATTTTTTATCAAAAATTACAACACAATTGTTATCAGCACATGATTTTTGAATAGAAATTAAATCAAATTTTAATTGAGGCACATGATAAACAAATTTTAAAATTAGATAACAGCCAGACGAGGGTAGGGACACATCACCAACATTATAAATGGGTAAATGTTCGCCATTGGCAACGTTAATAGAAGTAGAGCTAGAATAAGTAGATTTATTAAGCAAAATGCCTTCAGATGTCGTCATGTGAGCAGAAGCCCCGGAGTCACGATACCACAAAGCTGAATTAATTTCTCTAGGAGTAGTCATTAGTGCTGGTGCAGAAGGCTGTGAAAAACGAGATGGACAGGCAATTGATGAGTGACCTGTAGAGAAACAAATCTGACAAATAAGGGTAGGGCTGGCAATATCACCAGCACCCGCGGATACCCTATCAACCCCAACCGAAAATAGGGACGAAAACCCGAAAAATTATGGATGAAAAATGGATGACGGGTGGATTGAAAGACGGGTTGGATCGGGTGTGGATGAACACTCATCCAACCCATCACCTGACCCGTCACCTGCTCCACCCACCCACCCGCTAAACCGCATATTAATGTATATATAATAATTAATATTATTATATTAATATATATGTATTTTTTATTGGAAAAGACACATATCTATGAATTGATGAAATAGAGACAATTGAAGAGTTTCAAGAAATGGAAGTTGAACTATAAATATAGTTTTGTACCGATGCAGAAATGTAGAATTTGAAAGCTTGAAGAAGTTTTATGTCTATTTTGTTTGTCAATCGGTTCTTTCTTTAATGAGAGTGAATTAGTGATTGTAATATACTTAGTTATTCAAGTTTTTGTTGTTCTTTTCAATGAATTCTTAATTTTTGGTTTTTAATTGTCATGATTTATCTTTATAATAATTTATTTATTTTGTCTTTCAAGTTAGACCATATATATTCACCTGTTACTCACCTGATCCACCCGATAACCCGTTCATGATGGATGGGTTGGATGTGGATGTAATTTTTAATGGATGATGGACGGGTGGGTGGATTATAAAAAATTAACTGGTGGACATTGATGAGCCTTCACTCAGTATAAATCCGACCTGCTGCCATTGACAAACAATAGGGGGAGGAACCGATCCCAGAATACCCCCATCTGATGGCAAGCCTGTATATCCAGAGTTAGTAGCACAAACAGATATATCAAGAATATTTAAATGTGACACAACCGAATTACTAATAACAACACCTGTAGTGGGATGAAACTGATGCTGACCATCTCCTGGATGAGTGCCATATGGAGCTGCGGGAGGAGCTCCGCCGTACCCCTACTGCTGAAAAAAGGCCGACTGGCCTTGCTGGTATTGATGTGTGCCATGACCGCAACCTCTCCGGCCACGGGCACCTCTGGCCCGACCTCTTAGGCCACGTGGGACATACGCTGGAGGACGCTGTTGTTCGGGCTGCCCTCCTCAGTGCGGTTGGGTCTGAGTCGCGATGGCCTGATGAGAGGCGGAGGCCTCTTGTTGCTGAAAATAGCGATTTCGCTGTTCTTGTTGAACAAGATGGGTCCGAAGTGTCTCAAACGGGAAATTTTGGGGAAATAGAGAAACAGCGGTAATCATGGATTCATAATCCTTCCTCAATCCCATAATAGTAGGTTTTAACATGTCAAGCTGAGAGACAAGACAGTTAATACAGGCAAGCGCATCCACCAAAATTTTAATTTCCCATAAATAGCTATCCATAGATTGATCGGGCTTTTTCTTAATAGTAGATGATAGATGTTTTAATTCCATAGACCTGGCCAAACTGACAGACATAAATCAAGACTCTAGTTGCTCCCAATTCCCACAAGAATGTTTCAGATCATGAACATCAATAAGAACATCATGTGACAAAGTTGCAAATAACCAAGAACGAATAGTTTGATCAACACGCAACCATGACAAATATTCGGGATTAGGGATTTGACTATTATAAAGATCTATGGAATAAACAGAGGGTACCTGGATGGACCCATCAACCATACCCAGAAGGCCTTGAGATACAAGAAACGACTCAGACTGGGTGCGTCAGGTGATATAATCTTCAATAGCCAGTAATTTGGTCGTCACGATGTTTGTAACGTTGGTGGCGACGTGGGACAGTGTTTGCGCCAAATCTGCCATAGGAGATGTTGGCGACAAATTAGGGCCAGACTGTGGGGCTATAAAAGAGGAGGAGAATCCCAGCGAGCCAACGAATGTGGGACCGGCAAAAGTAGCAGCGGACAGAGGTGGAGGGTCCAGAGTGAGCGGCTGAACCGGAGATGCAGGGGGCCAGGGGAATGCCAGCGATAGATTCTGGATGAGGGAATAGGTCTGCGCAGTACCCCATGTCGACGAAGCAAAGGATGAAGCCGAGAGGGAGGCAGTGTTGGGCATGATGATGGACAGCTGCATACCCGAGGATTGTGGGGCGCTGGTCGAAGAGAGAGTTAAAGGTACACTTATGCCAGCGCTCGCCAGAATGGAGGACTCTGATACCATGTGAGAGAATGGAACATGTTGCTCTCTAAGGAGCCCTAACATGTATATTTATAATAAAAGAATATTGTTTAAAATACATAAATAACCCTAGTCTATTACATATAAGGCTTACAACTCTCAACACAATCAAGAATCCAATACTTGGTACAATTCGGAGAAACCCAAAATTTATATGAATGACACGAGTTTGGTGTAGAATCAGAATAAAGGAACTCGTAAGTAGAATCTACAAATATATAAACATCAAGTATCAATCAAATGCACAAATAGATAAGGACTTAGTACACTCAACACTGAAAAGTGCAACACTAAGGTATATCAGCAGATTAACAGGTAAAAAGTGCACTAATAATAGGAAGGAAACTGCACGATGTAAACTGTGGTAGTTCAATGTTGATCAAATCACAACATAAAATCATATTAAAACTAAAAACTTCAAGTAACACAAAAACAACAGAATGAATATTTATAAGAAGAAATATTTATAAAAATGAGCATGAATATGTTGGGGAAAACCACGATCCCCCGACCTCTTCCAGGATCACGAGTTCAAAGGACTCTTGTACACTGATAAGTCCGTATTTAGACACGCATTTAATGCGTGTTCAGGTTGGATTTTGATGATTTTCCTAACTTTAAGGTGTTTCAAGTCTCAATTTTAGCTCAAGTTGCGATTATCAGGCGTTGGGACGAGTTCGTTGCATTTGGAATCGAATTGAAGAAGTTAGAGACCGGCAATCAGCGCTTGAGAGGCATTCGGGAATGATTTGAAGGCATTCAAAGAAGATTTGAGAGATTTGGAGGTCATCGGGAGATTCACGACGAAATTCTGATGAAGAACGAGTATTTGATTGACCTCGTATGCATCCGGGAGCATTTGGAACAAGGAAACGGAGATTTAGTGAAGAATAAGGTCACGCACGGTCGTGCCCGGAGTTAGGCACGCCGTGCGCGCCTTGTTTAAAGCAGCAAAGCTACTAGAGGCCAGGCACGGTCGTGCCCGGCAGTCAGGCACGCCGTGCCTGAAGTGAAACGAAGGAACAAAGCTACTGAAGGCCAGACACGGTCGTGCCTGGCAGTCAGGCACGCCGTGCCTGGACGCGTTTTGCGGATCTCTTCCGTAGGCACGGTCGCAGGCACGGCCGTGCCTGGCGCCGTGCCTGACCCCATTTTATCCTAATTCAACTCAAATTGCTATGTTTCCTTTAAATACCACCCCCATAACCCTAATTAGGGGGGATGGAACTTTAGAGAGAGATTAAGGACGAGATCAGAGAGCTTTTTCAGCCAGGTTTTTCAATTCCTTAACATTCTTTGTAAATTCCTACTTTTTGATTAATGACAATTAATTCTATCTATCCCAATTCTATTGATTCTTCAATTATGATGTATGGTTAGGTTCTTGATGGTGTAAATTGCATGAATGTCGTTTAATTTGTGTTTGAATAATTTAATTGATATCTTTTGTAACCTAGAATGGCCACTAGAATTACAATTGCTTATAGAATAAATTAAGAGAGATCTAATTTG